GGGGGAAAAAAAGTAAATTCAAAAAAAAAAAAAAAAAAAAAAAAAAAAAAGGTCAAATTTTGTGGGATCATTTGACCCCATGTGGGTCCGCCAGTGGTCCAATATGAATATATTGTCTGATTGTATTCAATTTCAGTGGCATATTGAGGTGGGGAAATTTTGTTTGTCTGCTTAATTATATTCACTTGGATTGGTAACTAGAAAATTTCTTGTCTTTTATCTATACATAATCTTATTTATTCAGAATTTAATTATATATGTGTCCCGACTTGTGGACTGTCAAGAAAAAGATTATAGAAGAAAAAGAAGTTAAAATTTTTATCAGTACAATACTATCAAATATTGTGCCGTTAAAATTTTGACATGGTTGGGTTAAAGTAAGTAGGAAGTTGTTAGAATCGAGGGCCATGCGCATTCTCATGACTCTTTTGTCAAAAAAAAGCAATTTGCTTAGCTATTACAATATATTTTGTTCCCTAGTTTATGGGAAAGTACCTTATTTTAACCTATGGTAGGATCATGTTCGGCCTGCTTTTAAGTGGCTGCTTTTCGACTTATTTTGCACTTACTGCAGAAATAAGTTAGAAAAAATGTCGCACATGTTTGAATAGTTGTTAATGGATAAATGACGAATATTTGATTTTCAACGAAGTACAAATGGAAGGGGTGATTGAAATATTAACTGCCCGTCAATTCTTGGTGTAATAGTGTTCTCGTACATTTACGTATGTTTTTCTTGTCAGCCTAGTACATTAGATTCCAAGATTTTTGATTGATTATTTAAAACAAAATGCTGCTTGAATTTTGGGGGAAGAATCCCTATTCTTTTCTATAATCCCTTTTCGTGTGGGAAATGTATATGCCACAGAAGTAAATTCACGAGGAAGAAGATATAGAAAAATTTAGTACGTTGGAAAGAACTAAAATAGAAATTACGTGAATCAAAACCCACATTTAGAATTATTCAGACTTTTTGTCTCTCTCTCTCTCTCTCCCTCTCCCTCTCTCTCTCTCTCTATCATCTTTCATAGAATATATTCTTCTTCCACTGCTTTATTATGTTGTTTGAAATTTATGCAGGTAAAGGCTTCCTCTACCACGAAGCAATCACTATTCCATTGATGGGTTGGTTTAGAAAAGTTTGTAAAGGTTCAAGGCATAAATTTTCAGAAGGGGAATATAATCGAAGACATGGTTCAAACACACAGGATAATTATCATTCCACTTCACAGGTAATCCTTGTTTCAAACTTTCTGAATTTGGTTTTTTACTTTAAAGTACATATGTAACATGGATTGATGAAAGTACTATAATGCAATTGCTCAAATCAGTTTCATTGTGAATTATGTATCAAATCGAGTATTAATAGGACATTTGTAATGACAAAATCAAGCCAAATCAAACTAGAGTCGACAAATTCTGGTTCATTTTTCCCCCGTCTTTTAAACTTTCAAGAAATTGATAAACTCTTGTCCATATAATTTTTTTATTTTTTATTTTTTTCCACTTTCAAGCTTTATGTTTGAAGCGAAAAAAAAATGTGAATGATTTTGGAACACATTTTAATTCAAGTAAATTAATATAGCTGGTTTAATTGATAAATTCTAGAAATATAATCCAAACATGAATCGAGAATTGGACATTAACCAATTAAATTTTAACTAATATCAGCTTGAACTGGTTGAGGCGGCATTGGAAAACGATGAACAACTTGCCAGAGCTCTTCAAGAGAGCTTGAATTTTGAGCCTGAATATGATAATACAGTCAGCAATAGCAGGGCCTCTTCCTCTTCATCAAGCTTAAAGTATGTATATATGCAATAAACGCAGTTTTAGTCCTCTCTCTCTCTCTCTCATTTATTTATTTATTTTTTTTAAGTTTGAATGTAATGAAATTCAAATATACCAAACGTATCATTGGAGTTATTGCATTTATTTAAAAAAAAAATTCCGCATAATTAAAACATCAACCGTGCTACGCGTGGGTCGTACTTTACAGGGTCGGTTCAGACAAGACACAGCAGGTAGGGTGGATGGTTCATTTTTGAAAAAAAAAAAAAAAAAATCACATGGAGCCCAGCGTCTGTAAAGACCCTATGGAAGTTTTATTTTTATTTTTATTTAAGCATTTTATAACTTCAATTAACAGAGTAATCCCATTATTTTCTTGTAGGCCAGGTCAGAAGCTCTATTAGTCACCGAAGTTATAACATTGTTTCATTTTGGTCACTGAATTAGGTTGTCAACAAATGAAATAGTTGATCTCATGAAATTTATATGGTCCTTATGTACTGATCCCTAGTATTTTGTCATTAATTGCTTAATTTCCACAATTAATCTTCTTTATTTTGTCTAATGTCCATTTGTTTTAGATTATTTTCCCATTTATTTCTTTTTCTAAAAGTTTTATTTTGCAATTAGATCCATAATTTTTGCTTAATTTTGCAGTGATTGTAACGCAGAGATTGATCATAAAAGCTCATTAAGTTATACGAGAGAACTTTGGCATGCCAGTCGTTTTAGATGCCATGAGTGCAACCAACTCATATATGATTCAGAGGTACAAACTATATAAATAAATATATATAT